TGTCTGTGTTTGAGAGTGTGTGTGTCTGTGTTTGAGAGTGTGTGTGTGTGTGTGTGTGTGTGTGTGTGTGTGTGTGTGTGTGTGTGTGTGTGTGTGTGTGTACCTGGATCTGGCAGGCAGCCTGGATGTGGAAGATGGTGTAGAAGGCCTCCTCCACAGACTCCCCCAGAGCCACGATGCCGTGATTCCTCAGCACCAGAACCTACACATGACAGAAATGTAGTATTATTTCATGTTTGAAGATTAAATAAAGGTTTGTTAAATTGAGCTGAATGTCTGTCGTGAAGTCATAACACAAAAAGGAAAAATCTTCAATTTAGTTTTGACTTCCAAACACTACATATGGACATTAGCTTAAATCTGTTATGGTGCATGACATGCTAAATAAATAATACAATGTTTATTATGTGTCGGTCATAAAAAGGTTAAAAAATGGCGCTCAAGTTTTTCCCAAAGCAAAAAGGGCACCTTCTATATTTGTTCTTTTTTTTTACTGTCATTTAGGAGAAAAAACGGAAGAATTTAATTAAAAAATATGTAATGAGAGAATTTGTTTTCTAAAAAATGTCTTGAAATACATTAACATATAGTTGGTGAATAACTTAATAGTTCTATGCAGGTCTCGAACAAAAAAAAAAGTTGCGCAACATTACAATTTTAACTTTGAATGAGAACTTTATTAATGGAGCTTCAAACTATGAGGTACATCCCGTCATGTATTCGATTATACAACAGCTGTATGTAATGGAGAAATGCAACCGTAGTATTATAAGACACACTAAGTCCGACTCCTAATTTAGTCTCCAAGCAGCAGCAGCTTCAATAATTAATCCGGTGAGGAGATCACATCACCTTGAGTCTGAGCTTCATTCATGCATGAAGATGAACAACCCACATGGGAACCTGAGGCAACGATCCACGTGTTTCAGATTAAATGTCTTTGCTCTTGTGTTGCGCTCACCTTACAGGTCGGACCGAGGCTCTTCTGCAGCTCCACCCTGTCCTCCTCCTCCTCCATCACCCCGTTGTAGTCGTAATACGCCACATCGCCGACCAGCAGAGCCTCGTGGGACAGTGGCAGCAGGCCGGACTTCATCGAGGAAACCTGGTTTAGAAAAGGTCATAAAAACAAGCTCATGTTCACAGTGTCACAAAGTGCTTCACAAGCAAATCCCTGCTGGACAATGATATCATGTTATCAGACCGAACAGAACAAGGAGACGCTGCAAATGTTACGATGCTAATATGAAATAACATCCAACTTTATAATAAGATAAGATATACACATCGGTAGCTGCTTGCAAGAGTCTGACACCTAGCCGACGCCATCAGTAATATGTAGTTTGGATGGTAGGCTTATTCTACTGTAATGATTAATTCAGTAAAGTCACTATCAAAGCACCCAACAGTATATACAGTATATTCCCTTATAGTCATACATTATCAAACACAGCTGTTAGCAGATGCATTCAAGCTCTATTCAGTTACCATGATGTGTTGAAATGTAATCTTGTAACATTTAGTTTTAATGCCAGTTAAGCTAATTGAAGCTAATTGAATCTGGACGTGAACATCAGAAGTATAATGGTGTCTCCTACAGGTAAAACAGAGTTAAAGCTAACTGTGTAGTGACTCACAGCAGCGGTGGCCGGCGTGTGGAGGTGGAGCAGGCAGCGAACGTCAGGCCGGGCGGAGTAGATGGCCGAGTGAAGGCTGAACTCCTCCGTGTCCACGCCCAGGTTGGTGCTCCCCTTCTCCACCACCTCACCCACGATATTCACCTTCACCTGGAAGCAAGCCGTTTGAAATGCATGTGAAAAAAGCCAACCAAAAGATTCACTTAAATACTATTACATAGATTCAGATTCAGGAGTCAGGCTCTCAAACAGAGATATATGTTCACGAGGCGTTAACCATGACTTCAGTGAAAAACATAACATTAATTTGACACATTTCCTACATTTGAAAGTGTGTGTGTGACTCACCAGATTGGATCCGGTCACCTCGCTGTAGGCCAGGCCGTGTGGCAGCACCAGGAAGTGTTCCTGTTCTTTACTAACACGCAGCTGTCAGGAGGAAGAGAAGATATCAAAACCTAAGAAAAAACTGTGTTAAGGTCAAAATATTTCTCTCTAATTTGGCCTAAATTGCACTTGAAATACAAAAGGCACATAAACAGATATAACCAACTCTTTTGCAAGAAACCATGTTTGCAGAAAATATATAAAAGTTATATTAAAAATAAGCAAAACAGGAGTTAACATTTGAGTGGCTCCCCACTACTGGACACCGCGCTCACCGAATAAGGAACATTTTGTATGCTGTTCTCGCAACATTTCTTTTTGGCTATTCAGCAAAATGTATTTTCAGTTCACAATAACGATGTTAAGATAAAATATGGTTTTGATGTGGATGTTTATTGCTGATATAGCCTCTTTAAAACTGAGCTAAGTGAGGTGTAATGTAAATTTGTATGCCCGCGCCGCCTATGAAGATCACAAGACACTATTATAAGATAGATTATGAGGAATGCGGCTCCCTATCTGAAGCATTTGGATAGTCATCACTCCTTTAAGACTGCTGCCAGCTATATCAACAAAGTCCATTATATCTCTTTCAGCATCTACTGCACCACGATCAACTCAGATAGTCCCAGCTATGAGAGAAACTTCCAGAGAAAACTTCGGACCAAAGCAGATTTTTCATGTTTAGCTCTGACCACAAACAGCCAGAACAAATATGTATTCTGAACACGTGACTAAAAAGCTGCACAATTAAAGGTGGGGTCATTTTGGAGAAACCAGATCGAGTGCGCTAGAATTTGAAAATACACAGCCGGAAGAAATCGGCCACTTCCTTACAGAGCCCCTCCTCCAACACACACGAACGCGCACATGACCAATGAGGGCACGAGATAAGTTTGTGCACAGATGGAAGGCTGACAGGCAGGTAGGCCATCCAGTTATTTTAGCCGGGCCGGCTCAGATGATTGGTCGTGCTTTTTACAGCGCCACAGCAAGATAGTTTTGTTATGGATTTTTTGTCAAAGCACTTCAGATATTCATTGCTATCGGGATGTTAAGAGCATTCCATGGAATATAACAAAAATTGTATCTCGAGCCGGTTTCTCAAACTTACCTACCCCACCTTTTAAGGCAGCCCTACAAAATATATTAGATTTATTTATTTGTGCAGATCTTAGTACTAATGATCCGTTATGTCTTTAAATTA